TGCCACTATAGTTCGGGTGAACCGCATGGGCCATGTCGGCTGACAGGAGGAACGAAGTAGATAGTGTCTCTTCATAGGCAGTGGAGATGTCGTCGTTTCCGGAAGAAGAGGGGAGAACCGACAGGCGACGAATGACCGCTGGAAGCATGTTCGAATCGGCACCCTGGGCGGTACGACTTCCAATCTCTTCGTGATCGAACAGGGCGATAAGGCGAATCGACGCCTCATCATCGAGGGCTGATGAATCTGCAACGGAATCGATCAGTCCAACAGTAGCACAGTAGGAGCTGTTCAGGTTGTCCAGGCGAGGAGAGAAGATAAACTCCTCAAGAAGTCCACCGAGGCTGGACTTTTGGGTATCGAACAGGATCATTTCAAAGTCGAGGATATCGGCTGGCTTGACTCCCGCTTCTGCAGCAATGAGCTCCACGAAGTAAGGGTGGTGGCGTTCGGTGATTGCCTTCAACGGCGAGAACTTCTCATTCTCAGTCTCCTCAGCTGCCTTGGTTTCCGCAGCACCCTTGGAATCACCACCAGTGCGGTTAAGCTCGGCGGCAACAAGACCAGCAATTGGGAATAGCTGGGTTTCCTTGTTGAATGCAAAGTTCTCTTGACGATCGAGATGGATGGCCAAAGTTGGGATACGAAGGACTGTACTCGAGTCAGCAGTATTCTATCACGTCTAGGATTTTCTGTGAGGTCCATACTTGGCCGATCAATCTTGATCAACTTCTGTGCAATTGACCCATCGCTATTTCGAACCATAGCGCGACCGGCGACTCCCAGATCACGATCAAACCCTGAATCATATCAGTACAGGCACGGGGAAGTATCCGATTAAATGTTACTCACATGTATGCCAAATTCCCCCGCCATAAGTTTCCACTCCAACCTGTACAAATCCCTCCCCGCGCTTGCTGCTGACGGGCTTGACCCTCAGAACAGGCGAGTCGGTGTGGGCTCCGACCATGGAGATCGAGTTACCCGGCTATATAAGCAACATCAGTAATGGGTGATATATCACGCATCGGCATGGTAGGATATTACCGTCCATTTCTTGCCGACAGCAAAGGCTACAATGGTCGAGCTATTGCGGGTCAGGTAGTATTTTCCACCTGGGCGGCATGTGGAAGCCCACGAATCTTTTTCCTGTTGGGGCGATAAGAAGGAGATCCTCACAGTTCATTTAGGGGGGTACATACCTTGATTTCCTGGAACCCAGCCTTCACCAGAAGCTCCTTGGCAGACTGGACCGCATGGAAAGCTAGATTATGCGATGTTAGGTACCAGGGAGACGGAAGCTAGATTGAGAACCATTGGGTGTGCTTACGTGTTGGCGAGGCATTCACAAAGGACAAAAAGTCCAGAGCGGGCTGCTTGAGATTCTGGGCAATTTTAGAGGTCATCTTCGGTCAGGTACCCTGTGAGCTAGATCGAAGGCCTAGAGAATTGATATTGTGATCGGGCAAAGAGGGTGGGGAAGAGGAGATGAAATCATGCTGGGCTTGGCGGTCAGAGAATCAATAAACACCATGTTTATTCACAGAAACCAATCACTTAAATACCAGTCTGTCTATACAGATTCGTTGAATAGCAGTGCACGGTATTGACTGTTTTACATCTACGGATATAATTTAAACGGTACAGAATATCATGCCATGTGGTTACTGGAAGTATTCTGAATATACCAGAAAAAATTTTGACAAAAAAGAAACCGTCCCCGGGAAGGCTCGAACTTCCAACCTCCTGATTAACAGTCAGACGCGCTAACCTGAGTTTGATATTAGTATTGAATTTTGAATTGTTGTAGATGTTAAGTTGAACATACCAATTGCGCCACGGAGACGAGCTATAATTAGAACCGACAAATTATGTTTATTGACCTCCAGTCAATCTAGCTCTATTCCAATCGGTCAATAATGACCAGAGTGACCATAAATACATTTAGAAATAAGGGTGTTGCCTCAAATATCATCAGAATATCCTCTGGACTCTCCATATCTGCTGGGTCCTGTATAACAGGTTTGGTTATAATCCCTCTTTTTCTTTTTTGGGGGGGGGAGGGGTTTCGAGATTCATAAGTAGGAGCTGGGGATTTACATATGCTGTACATATATATTACTCTGGTAAAGTTTCGGTGGTTTATCGGATATCTTCGGATGGTGTCATCTGTTTTTATGCTGGGTGTATGATTGTGTGGTGGTTTTGGTTCTTATATTGGGCTATGGCGATCCCACTGCTGTCCTTGTGCCTAATATATATATAAGTACGACGACACCGTCTCGGCTGCCAACTCTACCTCCTAAACCACATCATAACAGTAACATGAACATGGGTGGTATCTACCCGTATACCCGAACCAAGACATGTAAAACACACCAGTCCCATGGCCCAGAACCACCCACAACTCATCGCGTTGTATTGTCTCTCACTTATACGCGGACCCGTGGATGTTGTCCATAACACTGCCTCGATTTCCATGACTTGAGTAAACCGTAAAACGGTTGGTATCTTATGGAGATATTCATGAGCATAGGAAACATATAATAGAAAAAGAGAAACGTGGAGTAAGGACAAAATGCGGCCCTAGCAACATGTGCAGCTACCACCTGCGTGCCAAAGAGGCAGCGAGACAACGAGACAACGACGTGGCAAGTATATCACCCATTTTATACGTGCCCATGTACTGCCGATATTTACCACACCGATTATATAATGCGTCACTCAACCATGTTCCAATGTATAAATACGGACCATGCCTGAAGGACGCTAAAACGCCTTGACTACCTTACACCACCAATTACCATGCACACATTCTATAGCTGGACATAGTGCCTGTCTCGTAGCCATCGGCACAATGCCTCTACCAGAAACAATACAATACCTCTGCCGTCGAGGGCGACAACAAGGGCACCTGGAAATCGAACAGGCGGGTTGGAAACTGCAGTGTGGGAAGACTATACCAGAGCCCCGGCCGAACCATGAAGCAAAATAAACACCACCAGCACGAACGTACCGGCCATGCAAAACCACAGTAGTATCCCTCCCATGACTAGCCAACGTAATTTCTAGATGTCATGTGGGATGCAGAAGATGTGTCTTTCCTATCCAACCCTTCTGGGGAAGGTGTATATGAGCACATGGTTATGTGACAATATCGACCAGACCTTGAACATCCAAAGACTGGAAAAAAGTCACCGACAATACTGATACAAATGTAGAAGAACATAGGAGTGGGATGCCTGTTGACATCGAACCATAATAGGTCATAGTAACTAGGAACCCTCAAAATAAAACAGTGAAAAGTGCTCCTCTCAACTGGATCCATTTTTCTCGCCACATCGGCCAGACAAGTCTCCGTGGCGCAATTGGTACGTTCAACTAAGCATCAACAACAATTGATAAATTCTTAATACTAATATCATCATCAGGTTAGCGCGTCTGACTGTTAATCAGGAGGTTGGAAGTTCGAGCCTTCCCGGGGACGAGTTTTTTTGCTCATTTTATATATTATCTAGCTAGGTACCTAGCCGAGTAATGACACTATTCCCACCCCATTACTACTCACTCGCTCGTGCCATATAAGAAAGACGTTTTATAAATAGTAAGTAAGTCCAGTCCAACAAAAAGACCATATATAACCACTGGGTTAATTAAAGCTTGTTCTTTTTTTTTTTTGGCCTCCTGTCCTGTTATGGGGCTATTACTTCCCTATAATGAATTAGTAATGAACCGGATAACAACACTTAAACTGATGACCGCCCCATTAAACATGCTTTCTCGCTGACATCCAGCAGTTGTCTCCGTGGCGCAATTGGTATGTTCAACTTAACATCTACAACAATTCAAAATTCAATACTAATATCAAACTCAGGTTAGCGCGTCTGACTGTTAATCAGGAGGTTGGAAGTTCGAGCCTTCCCGGGGACGATTATTTTTTTTTGTTCTATGAAATTATTCATATAGTAAGTACGGAGTGTTTAAATATGTTCCACAGCCATCAAGGAGCCAGAGTGCACAAGGGGGGTGTGGGAAAGGGAACAAATAGAGAACACATTATTGCATGTAGTTGTTTGTGTCAGCTAGATAATATAATATACTTTTAGCACCAAAGCTGTTGTTAATTTTAGATGCAAACTACAAGCTACAAATATAGTACGGTACATAACCCCAGGGGAAACCGCAGGACAAGTATCAATTAATCACCTGATCGCCCAGGGTATCAGCTCCCCTATCCCGGAACAACCACTTACTGATTCCTATACGCTCTACAAGGTTTGATATATGTCCGCTGAGAGTGGTGTGGTCGTCAGGCTGAGCCAGGCTTCCCGATAGGCCGGGAGTGGCCACCCACCTTACATGCAAACTACAATTATTTATCATAAGCTGGCTGACATACCAATTTTCTTCCCTCGCGACATTTGAGAGGCGCTAGATGTATGCCTACTTAATAATATAGGCAGACCGGGCGTTGTGTAGCTGGAGCACGAATACCCCGACATAAATGGCTATAGAAGAGCAGACTCGACGGATACTGCTTGACATGAATACGAACTACTATCACTATCCTATAGCTAGCTACATAAAGTAACCTGCATTTTCTTTGACAAGCAAACACTTACTCGCCGTCTGCGTGTGTAAACACAAGTATTAGCCAAGTCTGATCATGGTACTAGGTAACTACCTACATCGCTCCCCTCTGTCTCGAATTATACTGCTGAGAGTTATATCTTCTTCTCTCTCTCTTGATATATTTTCAGAACATCCAATCGAGAAAACCATTCGACCACTAGGAAAAAAGTATGCTCAATTGGGGTGCCCGATAATGGGCCTATCCATGAGGTCCTAATTGTGATGACAAAGTGAGCTTGGCATAATTATGTAGGTGCGGTAGCCTGACCTGGAAACTGAAACAAAATAACCCACCGACCTCCCATGAACACGTCTCCGTGGCGCAATTGGTATGTTCAACTCAAGTCGATTTCAATTCAAACTCAATACTAATATCATAATCAGGTTAGCGCGTCTGACTGTTAATCAGGAGGTTGGAAGTTCGAGCCTTCCCGGGGACGATTCTTTTTTTTTGTTCTTTCTTTGTTTCTCCCGAGCCAAGCTTGGATGGAAGCCACTTGATCTATATATTATTTTTAATATCCAAGTCCTACTATGCCACGCGCCCATGGGTAGCTTGGAACCCGCAGGAGCTGTATCTCTCTTCTATCGCACAGGAACCCCAGCCTCTTCAGGTTACCCCGTCTACAGCCCAAAATGCTGTCCTTCATCTACAGTCGTAGGAAAATATCATTGCGGACAGTTAGTTGGGAAACAACAAAACGACGGTGATCAATAGTTGTTGCGTACACAAAATATTTCACAAAGCGTCAAGAGGCCTAACCTTCGGGCAGTGAATTCACCTCGGGAATATTTATATACCCTGTCCTCCTCTACTCATTTGATCTCTCTCAATGTCTCCCCCAACTCGCTGATTCCATAATTGTTTACACCAAAAGCATCAGGTGCCGCCAGGTATTCGTCAGAAAATCGTTAAGATTAATTTTTTTCTTAAAAGTTACCTTTACGACATGGATGACAATGAGTGCTTTGAAGCCCTAGTGGGATGCCACACACGGTTTAGTAACGGCAACGGCACACCCATAGAGGTCCCAAATTTTCATGCAACGGATAAATTATCAGGGTACTACATCGCCAAACGGTTTGCCGAGGAGGCTACGAAAACCCTCTCACAAGCTGAGCTGGTCCAACTTATCAAATTCCTAGAGAACCCTAAAGCCAACTACGATTACCTAGACAAAGAACCACAAGATCTTCTAAGAGAAAGGCTTCAAGTTTTCTATGAGATGGAAACGCAATACTCGGGGCTAAGCACAGACAGACTTTCCATTCCCGGAGGACCTGAGGATGCAGACCTTTGTATCGTTCTTCACATCGCAACCGGGAAACACACCTCCCGGGATTTCTGGGACCCTAAAAGTGCCACAATCAGCCTACTCCAAGAAAAAGGGTTGACTGAAGAGTTTGTTTTTGGGTACGACTGGCACTGGAGAGCCGAAGATGCCTCATATCTTACTAGAAGCGATTGCCCACTGCGTAAATGGCCCCAAAATCTTAAAGCACTCCACGACCAAGTCTCCGCAGAGATTCTCGAGCTCTTACCTCTTCCTTTCCTAATCACCGCTTCAGGATGCACAAGGGAGAATGTACGCAGGACACTCACCGGCTTAAAAAAGTCAATTGATATCACCATCTCCGAATCTACTACACTGAAGCTTGACCTTGACTTTCGAACTAGCTTTTTACGTCGCATAATAGTCCATACCCACCACCCATCGTCTGGGTTCATTTCAAACTCGGGAAAAAGGGCTACAATGGCAGCTCAAATTGATGCTGGACTCAATTTTTTCATGTGGCTGACAGGGAGAGTTTACGATACTAACACTTTTGGTCGTACATATTCCCAAGCTGGCCCCCCTGGAAAACGAAATGCACCACGTGCTGAGATGTATGCATACATCACAAAGGAGCGTGAATAACATAGAGTTTTGGGTCTAGCTGAATATTCACCTTCATTTTTAAGCTGGGTCGCAAGATACTTATTCCAAGATCCGGCGGTTATTCTTGCGCAGGAACATTCAGTTGCTGGAGCGGCATTATCGAAAATCCGTGCAAAGATGAGCATCTCCCACCGGCAACAAAACCATCGAAGAAAGAAGAAAGATAATACCTCTATTGGAGATGATATGCCATTGTTCCATGGCAAAATTGTAACCGTGCTTCGAAGCGGGGCCGTCAAGCTTAATTCACCCAAAGTCAAATGCAACTTACAATTTCGAATGGCACAAGGAGCAGCGAGAATGATATTAGATCTGCAAAAGGAAGTAAGAATCTACTTTTCCCAGACGAAAGTAGAGCTCCGCGTGGAAGACCAGATTGTTTACCATAAGCCGATTGAGCGACTGCTGACGTCCGTGAATGGCGACGAATGGCTTGTTCAAATTACAAAAGAACTTGGATCTATACAGGAAGATTCCAACGTTTTAGATGAGCGTACCAAGGAAATAATACCAGCCCAGCTTGTTGTGAGGCCTCACGACCCTCGTCTTGGGGCTGGGTGGAAGAATGGTGAATTACAGAGGAAGTTGCTCCATGGCAGTGTCTTCTCATGTGCAAAAATTAACAATGCAGCAAGGGTTGGTCGGATTTCCTTTCGAGGGGTGCAATTGTATATTCCCCAGGAGGCCGACTTCGATACGGTCTTTGTTCAATGTGACTTGGTTGATCAAGGGCTGAAGCACACTCACATGTCGCCCACATTGTTCGAAGCCGATGATCCTGCTACACGCCTCGGAGTTAAAGTTAAATATAGGGTAAAAGCCACAAATGAGCCAAAAGAATACTGGGCAACATTCGGAGGTACCTGTAACACGAAGATACTGAATTCACTGGTCGATTTTTTGGAGGGCAAGGATGAGAAATGGACAGAGAACCAGGATAGGAGATTTCTTGCTAGAAGCGTGTTTCGGGGTAGAACGCATGTGTCTTATACAAGCTAAAAGCGCCCTTCGATACTTTCGGCTGCAAGAAAGTTCGCTATGTTTTGATATCATCTCCCTCCGGTTGTCACCTTGCGTGTGGGAGCTACCGCCTGGTGACGCGGACTGTCTCTGATCATCTAGTGGTGTCCCGGTCGTTAACAGCTGTACTTAGAAACTACATGCTGAAAATATAGAACCAAAGACATCTATCTCCAAGGCACTCCACTGTAGGTGACAACGAAAATCACTGTGCCAATTGATTAATACTTTCACCCAAAGCATGTTTGTGACATGTCCGAGCAAGTTGATTTATACCTTGGCTAACCCGAGCTAAAAGATATGGCATATAGGAGGAGGATGGGCTCGCTGTCGATGAATCCCAAGGATAGAGCAAGGATTATGTACAAAAGACTGGGTTGGGACAAAGGAGCAGAAGTATTTCGGTTTATTGGGCCATGCTTGATCCACAAGGATCCGGTAATTTTCGATACTTACTACCCACCTACCTGCTATGAATAATTTCACCCGAGTACCTCGTGAACAAAATTTAATGGCATATGTACTGGTGGCAGGTGATGATGTGCTAATAATGACAAGTGACAGGTAGTTCTGACAAGGAAGGCTGCCTGGGTCAGGTACGAGTGATCTGCTCCTCGTGCGACAGGGAACGGCGGCTCCAAAGATTGGAGGGATACGTCAGGTACATGGCTACAGTTGGGAATGGCAGGCCCTGCGGCTCTTGGAAGTAAATTAGTAGTCATTTACAGGAAACACGGGGAAAATAGTATGCGCCACGGACGAACCGTTGCACTAAGGTAAAGCTGTTCAGCGGATCGACGTGAACGGGGCCGAATCGAAGGAATTATTTCTTTGGTTGAAAATTCTCCTCCACACTGTGGCCCAAGCTTTCCGTCGCGTTCTCAAGGGCGCGTGGAATGAGGGGCGGTCGCGCGAAACCCGATAGTGCTTGTGGCACCAAAGAGTCGGTCATGGACGCGCTGGTCCAATCACCAGACTGCCGGGCGTTTCGCGTCAGCCAGGGAGCGTGCGTGTCTGTCAACAATAACATTGGGGTTGGGAGATGGTGAGAGAGAATTTATCAATCTGGTGGCATGTGTTGGGGTTTGCAAAGAGGACCATGTTTATTTATTGTCTGATTTGATTCAAATTGATCTGATCCGAACAAGCGTACTCTTTCCTAGGTGGGTTATATTGGGAGTGGGGGGAGGCAACATGCTAGTTCGTAGTACGGGTAACCCATACTACTAACTCGTCATGATGGCTGGACTGGTCCCATGGATGTGCGCTTTCCACGGTTCTTGAGCCGAATATGACAGCACTACCCATGCCCGACCGAAATTAATAAGAATGATTAATCTCGTGTGAAGAGCCACGTTTGGACCAGGCAGTATGACAACAAGCGGGATTCATTAACAATAAGAAAGTCCAACCTCCTCCTCCCCAGAACGGTTTAGCGCACCCGACGCGTGACCGGACGGGATTCCCCTTCGAACGGCCATCGCCCAAAGAGGTCCATCGCCAGCCCTTGGATCATCTCCAACACTGTTTCAACCCTCTCCCTCCCTCTCCCTCTCTCTCTCGCCAGACGGTGGTCGGGTCGGCCTCAAATGACCTGCACACTTCGCTTAATTCGATATTGTCAGCCTTGGGTCTGGTGAGACTCAATATATTCTCTTTGTCGTCCCCCTTTCCGACCACTTGCCCTGGGTCTACTTGATTATTGTTCGGAGCGGAACACAAGCGTCGGATTGTTGTCACCCATCACCAGCTCCTCTATTCACCAACAGAACGCCTTGACGAAACCTATTGGACGGATTTCTTCTCCTTTTCCGACCGTCGCATAACATACTCATTGCTCCCCTTCTCCAACTCCATCACGCCTCGACTCGTTGAGACCGTCGCATCCTTCTCCCCTACGGCTAATTCTAAGCGCGATCGCCCTTTTTTTGGGCCCCAAACGATACCCTAATCAGGAATTATGGGTGGTGATAACAAACACCCAGATGCTCCTGCGACTCGCAGCGCAACGAGGGGTGCATCGAGCGCGAAGTCGTCTGCCAATACTGCGAATGGCTTGAGCATCGTATCCCCTCCTGGGTCCAGGACACCCCCCAGTATGCCTTCGAAGAAGACGCTTTTCTTTCCAGATACCCTTGGTGGCCGGCATAAGAGCCAAAGCAGCTCTGAACCAATTGATCCCGATGCGCTCGCGAAAGCCCTGAAGGACTATGAAGATGCTGGGCATCCCCGGGAAAGAACCCCTGGGACAAGTCCAAGTAGAAAAAGGCAAAGAGTCTATGGAGATAGGTGAGGAGCACAGTCTCAGGATAATCTCTAGTTATGAATCAATAGCTAACTTCATCCGACAGATTTATTCCAAATCGAGAAGGACAGGATCTTCAAGCAACCTATAGTTTGCTTCACGAGGACGGTTGTCCTTCTACACCATCTAAAACGAAACGGCGTGCGCCCCATTCAGAGCTCCACTTTCAGAAAAGTGAGTTATATGCCGATCTATGCGTACATTTTGGAATCGCTTGGCAACTGACATCATTTTTTAGCGGAAGAAGCAAACCGAATGTATTCGCGCGTCCTGCGAAGCGAACTGTTTGGGAACACTGTTCCCCAGGCCGACCTGGACTCACTGTCTCCAGACCCTCTAATGGGTCTAAGCGGCGGTATAAATGATAAAACCCGTTCGCATACCCCACCATCACATGCTGTATCAAACCTACCACCGGCCAGCATAACTCCTTCGACACCTCACAAAAACCTTTTTAACTACGCCTCACCAAGAGGCTCGGCCCACCCGACACCTTCCAAAACTCCTCGAAGCCAGCACGGCCCGAATCTCAACGTGCGGTCAGAACTTTACAGTTTATCCCCCATTCGTTACGACAGTCAACGTATTCTCGAGACCCCTCGCAAACAACCACGTTATGTGAATAAAGTGCCTTACAAAGTTCTCGATGCACCTGATCTACAGGACGACTTCTATCTAAATCTTGTCGATTGGGGGAGCAGTAATGTCCTTGGGGTTGGTCTTGGGAACTCCGTTTACATGTGGAACTCGCAAACCGGCCGGGTGACTAAATTGTGCGAGCTGAAAGACGACACAGTGACTAGTGTCAGCTGGATTCAACGGGTAAGCAACAAGCAACCGTACGGGTGTCTGTTATGACCCGACTAACCTTTCATCTAGGGCACACATCTCTCCATAGGCACAGGAAAGGGTCTGGTACAAATTTGGGATGCAGAACGATGTCGCCGTCTCCGAACAATGATCGGCCATACTAATCGCGTCGGTGCTCTAGCATGGAACGATCATATTCTGACATCAGGCTCGCGAGACCGTCTCATTTTCCACCGTGACGTCCGTTCACCGGATCAATATCTGCGCCGACTGTCCGGTCATAAACAAGAAGTTTGCGGGCTTCGGTGGAACACAGAAGATGGTCAACTAGCATCCGGTGGGAATGACAACAAGCTTCTAGTCTGGGATAAACTGAATGAGACGCCACTGTATCGGTTTTCTGACCACACTGCAGCTGTCAAGGCAATCACTTGGTCCCCGCACCAGCATCACCTTCTCGCCTCTGGTGGTGGAACAGCTGATCGAACGATCAAATTCTGGAATACATCCACTGGATCCTTGATCAAAGAAGTCGACACGGGCAGCCAGGTTTGTAATCTGGCCTGGTCCAAAAATTCCGATGAAATTATCAGCACACACGGTTACAGCCAGAACCAGATCGTTGTCTGGAAATATCCACGGATGGAGCAGATTGTCTCCTTGACCGGGCATACTTTCCGTGTGCTTTATCTGGCAATGAGCCCCGATGGGCAAACTGTTGTCACTGGGGCTGGGGACGAAACGTTGAGGTTCTGGAAGATATTTAATAAAAAGCTTGGTAGAGAACACGGGCGCGAAGGCAGCAAGCTGGCGGAATGGGGTACTATTCGGTGATGGTATGATCAATTGATTTGACGACCTGCATTAGACACGGCGTTCCATGGCTTTGGCGTTGTTACGATCCCAGGTACACTTGGTCGGTCTGGGAGAACGGTTTCTAAGGTGTGATTTGGCATCTCTCGCATTTTGTCGGTACAGCATTTTATGGGCGTGTTTCCCTCTAGTTCATCAGATCTTCGTGATGTCCCATTGGCTTTCTTCGTCTTATTTTCCTTTTGATTTGCATTTCTCAAGTTGAGTCGTTTTGCGTGCATGGTATCAATCACCCTTATTGTTCAAGGGTATATGATCTTCCCCCGACGCTTTTATCCATGCAATTAGTCTCAGCGGCGGCGCTCATGGTGTTCCTCGAGGCCATACCACGGCGTTGCTATGGATGGATGGTCAATTGTTTTTTGTTTTTGTGTTTTGTGTTTTTTCTCTTTTTTCCAGGTGTCGGGGTCCTTATTGAGCATAGTCGCAACTGTCTTCCTCTATTATTTAACCACTTGATACTTTTAAATTGATGATGAGACGATTTGTTAACAACCACTTAATACTTGATTTTTTCCCTTCCCTTGCTCTAGCGCACTGACTGGCGCGCGTTGTATGTAACTCAAGAGTATGATGTATGCTCAGCAACAGTGTCGCCTACTTGCGTTAGAATATGGAACTAGAATTTGCAAATGTGATTTCTATCTAAATGATCATAGTTGCGCTTGAGTACATGAATGTAGTAGAATGAGTATAAGATGAAGTCCCAGTTCCGGGGCGAGTTTCCGGGATAAAGATACACTGAGGCGGAGACCGTAGGTAGATACATACATTCTCCGCCGTTTTCTCCGCCGACTTAAATTAAGGAGTAGAGATTTTATAGGACCAGCCTTCCAGGCTCAATGGTCAGTAGTGCCTTCACGCGGTCGAGGAAAGCTCTGGCCCTCTTCTCGTCGCTGACAGGGACGGTGAGGCTGAAGACATTCATGGCGGGGCCAGAAGGTTCCACCGAGCTGGGCTGAGAAGCCTGCCTAGACACCGTGCCACTCAGTATATCAAAGATGTCCTCCTGGACAGGGGCCGATTGCTGGAACTCCACGGCAGGGTCGACAGCATTCAACTCTGGGATATAGTCACCACGGGACGTCTGGATGGGCTTCGCGCCGAGGATTTCTTCGAAAAGCTCGTCTGCGGAGGGCTTTGCGCTTGGGGAGCGGGGAAGGTCGTCGTTCGCCAGATCAGTGGCACGGGCGAGGAAGGTCGATAGCGGTACACTGACGCCCAGGGAGTCTTGGATTTTCTTCTGGACCGACAACACGGTGGCGAGGGAGATCGATACAGCCACGGAAGCTGTGGGGGGAGGGCGAGCAACAATGGGCTCCTCGACCGCGGGGGCCTTGGGCTCGGCGGGCTTGGGAGGGGCAGCAATCGTGATGTTGCTCAGATCGAGGTGGCCAAGCTGGTTGATGCGCGCGGCCTGGACTGAAGGGTAGTCGGCTTTGATGAGACCGAGATAGGCGAGGACATCGCCTTTGAGAAGACGGCCCTTGGGGCCTGAAGCAGGGATCTTGGAGGCTTCGGATTGGGGGATGCCCTTTTCGTGGAGGAGCTGAGCGACGGATGGATACAACGGATAGGCGGGGTTCTGAGTTTGGGTGGCAGAAGACGCGAAACCTAGATGACGGGATGAAGAGATAGATGTCAGTTCACAGTGTTCTTGGGGTTCTATGTGACTTCTGAGGGCGGCATTGCACACGAGATAGTCTTTCGGAGTGTATCATTATTCCAACTCCGCGGGCAACTCACGTCTGGAGGTGTTGAGGGTCCGAGGCTGTCGCCTAGCAAGCGCAGCCGGAATTTGGCGCATGGAGAATCTGGATGCCATTGCGAATCGTGGAGATGGTTCTTATTGTGTTGAATTGTCTGCGGTGGATGTACGTTCACTCCGTGGGGGATTTGTACTCTAGCGGAGATCGCGGCGTGCTGCAGTCGGGATTCGCCGATGCAGGGACGCAGGGACGATCAAGAGCCCACCACCACAGTATTCGAAATCGTTGATGGGTGATGAAGGAGTCGAGGGGTGTGATAGGGTGCCGCGATCGGGGTTCAATGGACAAGAGGCGTTCGGGCGAGAGTGTTCATGTAATGTTGGTGGTGATCAGGGAGTGTATCGGAGATGGTTGAGGTTGTTGGGGCCTCACCGGCAGCCCGGATGGGCGGTGGAGTCCGGCCTTCCTGTCAATTTTTCTGCCGCTTCCTATACTTACTTCTATTGCTATATCTTCCTATAGTTGAGGTTCTACGGTTTACATTCTGTCTGTTGATGCTATGCTCTACCGGTATGATATTTGACGACTGAATGATATCGCTATATGGTATTGACGATTATAAAAGATAATATACGGAGTAGATATTTCTCGGGTGAAGCCGATCCTGTATCGGCCACTCGCGGATAGCCCCGTACGAGTAAAAGAACAAGGAGGGAAAAAAATGAAACAGAAAACGGTCATTCACCCAAACGGGGACAATTGGATTATAAAAGAGTAAAAAAAGAGAAAAAAAATTAATAGAACAATTAAAACGATGAAAAAAAAGATATCGTCCCCGGGAAGGCTCGAACTTCCAACCTCCTGATTAACAGTCAGACGCGCTAACCTGAATTTGATATTAGTATTAAATTTGAATTGTTGTAGATGTTAAGTTGAACATACCAATTGCGCCACGGAGACAACTCGTTGATGGCGGTAAAAATATTTGGCATTATAGACCAAATCTGATGTCAAGATTTTTTTCTGCCACCCATGACCATACTGTCGTCCCCATCGGACTGATCGCCAATGTTCGTTGTACATTCTCATTTAATAACCAATTAACCATTGCTCAGTGGTAAGTAAGCACTGCCTTCCCTCCCAGACCAGCTCAATTGGGCTATTATGAAGCACTTCTACTTTCCTCTATATGCAGACCTGCGAGTTAGATGAGCTTAAAAGTACATTATACTAACAATTATATTCCCAACGCAGTTCGGCATGATCGCGTTCGTCAGACCCTCTGCCTTTCGGGCAATTCCTCAACAATGCTGTCGCGGCTCTACATCACCGGGGCTTTACTATAATAATCCCACCTGGAGATTTTTCACATCAAGTGCTCCCCGAACGAAAGTCGCATCTAAGGCCAAGCGTCAGCCTAAGATCGCGCAACCTCCCGCTCAGGCAAAATCATACCCTCCCCTCGAAGATTCCCTGAAGTTCGCAGGCAGACGCCCCGAGGGATTTGGAAAACTTGAAAGGAAAGTTGCCAAAGAAGGGCAGGTCCTCTTGTTCAAAGCCCCATCCCACCGCAGCTACGTGCTGGGTGCCTACGGCATCACGGCATTTTGCTTCGCTTACTCCGTATACAACTCCAATGCTGTCTTCCGAGATCCAGTAGTACCGCTCCCAATGTGGCAGCAAGGATTATTCGGCGGTATCTGTGTTATGATGAGTGTTATGGGCACGGTCTTTCTCGTCAAAACTGGACGATTGATTCGAACCGTCAATGCTGTCAATGTCAACAACCAAACTGTTCTCCGGTTTACGGTTCGAAGCATTGTGCCTTTCAAGAAGCCATACGAATTTGATGCCATGCCACGCCAAATTGCCTTCTCCCGGCGCCTAGTGGTCACATCGGATTCGGTTTTCAGCCGCACGCAAAGTCCCGGGTCCGACCCAAGTCAAACCATTGAAGCACCGAAAGTGAGCATTTATAGAGCTCCCTTGACGAAAATGAGCGTGCTTCTATACCGCCTGTTTCGATCTGTTCGACAGCTGTTTACACAGGAGGACTTCATATTGCTGGAGATCGAGGGCCAGAATGGAGTGTTTCGAATGGATTCCGGCGGCTATGTCTCGGAAGACTTTCTCGCCGTGGGTAACCCAGTGAGCATCAGGCGCTAGGCAAGGGGTTCGATGCGTTGTATTCATGATATCATGATATCCTTTCTCAAATTGTTTAATTACTATGTATTTCTGTCGGGTTGTGGAGGATACCTCCCAGTCGACACCGACCTAGCATTTGTGAGCAATTACCATGTACATATAGAATAGAACCACCAAAATTGTATCTTGTACCGGGGAAGAAACCATCTACCACCTAACTAGTTGGGCCGTTGACAGTGATCTATGTATGGGCCGACCACGTGATCGGACACTGGGCGCGTCCTCCTAATCGGCCGTGACGCGACTTCGGGCTCACTATCGATCGCGCCGACCCCTCCAAACACCTCGACTTGAACCAAGCATTACCCTAGACTCTCTGGTCCCCCCTGGTGCACACTCGCGGATCCACCACTTGAAAGCTCTATATTCGCTCCTGTAGTCGCCAAAAAGCGGCTGCGTTGTCGCAAGATGGGGAAACTCATTCGACTCGAGCTTTTTAGTATGTATCGATACATCCGCAAAATCCAACGGAACACTGTTACTGACTGTTCCTCCAGACTTCAAGTCATATAAAGGGCACCACACTCTTTTGTTTGGCGATGCGTATTTCACCTCCATTATCGGGCCCAACGGGTCTGGAAAGTCCAATTCGTGCGTTCCATTTCACGCTCCTATATTCTAACCTTAGGCTGACCCACTTCAGGATGGACGCCATCTCGTTCGTGCTCGGAATAAAATCGTCACACCTACGATCCACAAACCTCCGCGACCTCGTCTACCGTGGCCGAGTCCTGCAAACGTCGAAACTCGATGCCGATGGTAACGTTATCGATGGAGAAGTGAACGGGGAGGACCACGCGCCGGATGGAATGGACGGAGAACTGTCGCAAGATGTCAACGGATCGCAGAACGACCCAAGAACGGCATGGGTTATGGCTGTCTACGAAGATGATGCGGGCGAGGAACAACAGTGGCGGCGATCGATCACCAGCCAGGGTGTCAGCGAGTATCGTATCAATAATCGCATCGTCACGGCGCAGCAGTACAACGAAGCGCTCGAGACCGAGAACATCTTGATCAAGGCGCGCAACTTCCTTGTCTTCCAGGGTGATGTCGAGGCCATCGCCTCTCAGTCACCAAGAGATCTGACCCGACTGATCGAACAAATCTCTGGAAGTCTCGAATACAAAGCCGAGTATGAGCGTTTAAAAGCGGAGGCAGAGGAAGCAGCCGACCAACAAACTGTGCAGCTGAACCGCCGGAGAGGCATCAACTCTGAAATCAAGCAATACCAGGAGCAGAAGCGGGAGGCTGATAACTATGCCAGAAAATCAGAAGAGCGCGACCAAGCTATTATCACTCACATCCTGTGGAAGCTATTCCATTTCCAGCGCTTGATCGACGCGTCTAGCGCAGATATTCTCAAATACCAGGATGAACTCAAGGAATATCGACGGGGCGTTGAGAAATACGAAAAGAATGTTGAAGATGCTAAGAAGCAACATGCAGGTATTGGTCGGAACGTGGCGAAGGCTGAGAAGAACATCATGAAGAAGGAGAAAGAGATCGAAGAGGCTACCAATGCCTTGGTTCCTGTTGACGAAAAGGTCGACATTACCGGGAAGAAGGTCGAGCGCTTTGCCTCTCGAATCGCGGAGATAGGAAAGGAGCGAGAGTCCCAGTCTGCCAATGCGAAACAATTGGAGAAGGACCTAAAGGTTGTCGAGAAGGCCCAGGCACAGTGGGAAACCGAGTGGCAAAAGACCATGAATAAACAAGGCGGACAGTTGAGTGACGCAGACCAGCAAGAATACAACAGTCTGAAAGAAGAGGTCAATAAGCGCTCCTCTGCCGACCAATTGAATCTCGACAACTTGCGCCGACAGAGGAAGACTGAAGCCGAAGCGTACAACAGCCTGAAGGGAAAATTCGAAGGGACAGAGTGGCAGCTAAAATCTCTGCAGTCTGACACACAGTCTATGACCGAACGGAAGTCTTCGCTAAATGACACCGTTAAGTCGACGTCAAAAGATATCGAACGTAAGAAAAAGGAGCTGAATGCCCTCACTTCGGAGCGTCTTCGAATCTCCCAGATGAGGACCGAACTCGAAGAGAAGCTTCAAGTCGTTTTGAAGAAGCTCCTCGAGGCAGATGATGGGAGGAAGCAGAGTGAGAAAGAGATTAGAGTTAAGGAGTTGATTTCTACCTTGAAGCGCATTTTCCCGGGTGTTAAAGGTCGTGTCAGTGACCTATGCAAGCCGAAACAGAAGAAATATGCCGATGCCGTCGCCACTGTCTTAGGTCGACACTTCGATGCCATCGTGGTTGACAACGAGAAGACGGCCAAGGAATGCATCCAGCACCTTCGCGACCAGAGAGCAGGCCAGGCAACCTTCATCCCTCTCGAAACAATCCAGGTCAAGGCCTTCAATTCGAACCTAAAGGGTATGCACCGTGGTATGCGTCCGGCCATTGAGACTGTGGATTACGATGACTCCGTTGCTCGAGCCATCAGCTATGCATGTGGAAATTCTGTAGTGTGTGATGATTTGGCGACCGCTAAATACCTCTGCTACGAGAGACACGTTGACGCAAAAGCTGTCACTCTTGATGGGACTGTAATCCACAAGGGCGGTTTGATGACTGGTGGTCGTGGGCCACAACCCCAGAGCTCCAAGCGCTGGGAGGATTCTGAAGTGGAGAATCTGTATAAGCTTAAGGAAAAGCTCATGGTAGATCTTACAAATCTTCCGAAAGGCCATCGCAGAGGCACTGAAGAAGAAACCCTGCAAGGTGAACTTGTCGGTCTAGAACAGCGCCTTGCCTATTCTCGCGAGGAGCTTAAAGCTCTTGAAAGGAATCTGCAAAGCAAGCGCAGTGAGCTGGATTTCACGAAACGTCAGCTTGAGGAGCTGAGACCGAAGTATGCCGAAAAGCAGGAATCTCTGGAAGAACTTGACCGGACAATAACTACATCTCGAGAGTCTGTGAGCAGTGTCGAAGACGAAATCTATCGCAAATTCTGCAAACGTCTTGGATATAGTAATATTCGTGAATACGACGTCGAACAGGGCTCGCTGCATGAAGAGTTTGCCCAGAAGAAGTTGGAATTCACGACACAGAAGAGTAGAATTGAAAACCAGCTTAGCTTTGAAAAACAGCGCCTCCAGGCTACGATTGACCGGATTTCTGGTCTCCAGGCCCAGCACCAGCGAGATGTGAGTATGATCGAAGAACTCCAGGAGGAACAAGAGCAGATTCGGAGCCAACTGGACGAATACAATGCCGAGCTTGATATCCTCCGCGAACGTCTAGAAGAACAACGGGAGACTTATGCACAGTCTGCCGAGAACCTTGCGCAACACCGCAGGGAACTGCAAAGGCGAAGCAGAGACGTTGAAGGGGTCTTGAAAAATGTCAATGGCCTAGAAGCAGAGATCCAGCGCAACTCATCTAGTCGATATGCTCTGCTCCGTCGCTGCAAGCTCGAGGACATCGACGTCCCTCTGACTGAAGATTCCAACCCGCTTGATCATCTTCCTATTGATGATCTTGTTCAGGCAACGGATCCCGATGCAATGGATGTTGATGAGGATGGTGCTGGTGGCATTGAGGGCACGGTTACTGTACAGGACTATGGTATCGAGGTCGATTTCGACTCTCTTGGAGAGACACTCAAAGAGGTGAGTAGCCCGAGAGTCTTGCTTGAAGACTTTATACTTACTGTTTCTAGGAATCGGATGAGAAGCTAGAAGAGGAATTACTTGATAAAGTTCGATCCCTCAACAGTGAGCTTGACAAGATGACACCAA